GAATATTCGAAGCAAATTGAGTACAGTGACATGAATCTGCACTGTAAGGTGCCAAGCAGGGTCTGGATAGGAACATCAGTGGAGTCAAACTGTCATTGAATGAAATTGCTTCCATTATTCCAGCACTAGAAAATCATAAGGATGGGTCTGAGCCCAAGGTCTGTGCTGAAGGATAGTGAATGTAACTCCATTTCAGTGATATACACATGTGCAGCAGTATTATCAGCACTACACTGCTGTAATGTCATTCTGAGGTAAAGGAAAGGGTCAGGGGCTGATCGATTGCTTAATCTGCTCGTTCTACTACTGTGATATGGATGTATAAATCAAATGAATTGGCCTACCTCATGCTCACTAAAGTACAAGAAGAGGCTCCGAGTTAAATTACTTGACTGGTGGAATTTAGGTTTGGAGTGTTTTACCAGAATTATATTTTAACTGCGTGCCTTTAAGAATATCCAAAGAGAATATAAAATATATTGTCTTGATGTGGGACCCAGAATGGATACAGAATACCAACAACAATAACAACAAAAACAACCATAGTAGCAACATTGATAATAATAAATGTGGCCTTAGTGTTAGTCACCTCACACTAGAAGCACACAGAATAAAAAAGAAAAGCAGCATTAGCTTTTCTGCAGTTTCAAGGATTTTGTGTAACAAATGTATTAATGTGTTAAACACTTGTCCATCAATGCACCTTTGTCAAAGGATGATACTGACCCAGAGGTCAAGTGCCATTCATAAAGAACAGCAGCATTAGCTTTGCTGCAGTTTCAAGGATTTTATTTAATAAATGTGTTAAAGATGCAGTATGTAAGATTTAGTGACATCTAGTGGTGAGGCTGCAGATTGCAGCCAATTGAATACCCCTCCCTTTCCAAGCATGTAATAGAACCTACCGTGACAGTGACCGCCTTGTAGACTGGTATGCTAAATAACCAGTCCAGCAGAAAACATTTGGCCCTCAGCAGTGATTTCCATCTGGGAAAGGCTGCACCAATGTTTTTCCTTGTTTTGTGTCATTGCCTGTCCAGATTTTGTCTTGCTTTTTCATGTTTTCACTTTTTTTTACTCTCCCTTGCTTTTTCTTGTGCTAAATAATAAGTATGTCTTTCATTTGTCAAAATTTGGGCTCTCAAACTTATCGCAATACAAAATGGTTAGCCAGCACGAACAGCAAAGTTAGAAAAGGACCCGCTCCCTATGTCCCTAAGTCCCTAAGGGCTCATTCTAGGCCAGGGGTCAGCAACATGCGGCTCCCCAGCAGAATTAGATTCTTAGGTAAAAATAAAATAATCCTCCTTTGCAGTAAAATAAAACCCTGCTGATCTTTCTAACACTGTTTTAACAAAAAATGGTCTTAAACGCTGGAGTTAATATATAACTGCTTATTCACCCTTTAACCCTGAAGGTTGGTGCGCAGACTGCTGGTCACACAGTGACACAAAGATTTAAGATGAACATCGATCATTTGGAGACGAATGGACTTATTTGCATTTATAAGCACTCCAGATGGTTTCCTGATACGTTTAATCTGCAACGAGAAACTGTCGGACACTAAAAAGTCACGGGGCTGAAGCTTCTCACTCTCCAGCTTCTTGTTCGAATTTTCATGTTCCACCTTAAATAGTGCAATAATTAGCTACATTCTGGTGCCTCAGGCACCATTTAAGGTAGAACGTGAAAACTCGAACATGAAACTGACAAATGAGAAGCTTCAGCCTCGTAAAAAGTCAAACGTTAAGAGACATTTTACAAGAAACTATTCTACTTTTGTGAAAAAGTTTCCAGCAGAAGATGCAAGAAAAGCGGCTATAGCTGAGCTAAAGCTTAAAGCAGATCAAAGTAAGCCTTCGTTTTCATTTATATTTTTTGCTTATGCTATGACATTAGCACAAACTGAGAGATATTCACAGCCAAGATGGTAAAACTTTTTTCAATAAAACGGGCATGAAATGCTGTGGCTCCCAAGGTGGTTAGATTTTTGTTGAAACTCGACAGAATGGCCCTTCTTAACATTTGGTTTGCCGACCCCTGTTCTAGGCTAACGAAAACACAATGATTCATAGTAATGAAAACATGGTTTTGTTCACTCTATTCCATTTCTGCTAATAGATCCCCCTAAATCTTATACACTGCACCTTTAACGGGTTAAACCTTTGTCCATCAATGCACAAAGCATGAAAACTGAGTCAGGAACTAAAGCAGTGAAGGTGATACAGCTGACCCATTAATTATAGGCTACAGTTATACAGTAGCAGACACTGTGACAAGGCATGAGTTGTCAACACGTAAATAAGAAAAACAGCCTGATTTGATCATGTGACAACTAAAGTCTAGAAGAAGTCATTAATATCACATCATCACTAGTATCCCATCTTATCCCTCATCACTGCCTATTTTCATGTTGTTTACTTGCACCCACCAATTCTCCATCGTTCCATTTTTTCTGTTTGTTTTTCAGGCCGCAAGGGAGTTTTGGCCATTACGCTCCACCAAGATGCCCCTTAGGAATGCTTCTGACTTGTACCCTTTCTCGGTGTTCAGCCTTAGGGGTCAGTGAGCATGAGAATATTTTATTCTTGCTCAATAACTCCATCATGTGGTAACTAAAAGTTAGCAATAAAAGTTTTCCTGACAAAGATAAGGTTTGGGGGAAACTTCAGGCTTTACAAGATTTACTGCAATGTTAGCAATAAATGATACAACACAGTGAATACTATGATTGAAAGAGAAGCAAATACTGGACGTTCATTTATCATTTTACAGCAGTTTATAAGATCAGCTAAATTTACAATGCAATAAAATGCTGAATATACACCAGCACATTACACAGATCCCTCTGGATTTATTTAGTTAAAAATTGGATTACATTTTAGACTTCAAAGCTCTTTTTTTTCCAGAGACTGAAGAAAATATACACAGTATTAACACCACATCCCAGCTTTTTCTGACCAACTGCTTAAAGCATCTACTCCACAAGTGCATCTATTCAGAAATCCTTGTACTGCCAAACCAACTGTGATTGAGCCATCTAGGGTTTTCAGGACCATCTGGCTCAGTGGTCAACAACCCTGGTTCTGAAGGTCTGTCATCTTGCAGGGTCTTGTTTCAGCAATGATCTGCCACACCTGCTCCAGCTAATTAACTTCAGAAGTCCTTGACTGGCTGGATCAGATGCATTAGTGTTAGGTAAGAGAGGAGCAGCATATTAAATGCAGGTTGGAACAAAACTCTGCAGGAGGAGGGTTGGTGACCACTGATCTAAATACGGGAGTCAATTGTGTAGGATTAGAACTGGATCTAAACAGATAGCCCATTGAATGTTAACGGATTTTTGCCACATTACTTGTGAGCTGAGCACGACAGATCCCAGTTCAGTTGACTGTGACTAGCTAAGTGCCTGCAGTCAATTCAGCAGCTGTAGTACTTGTACCATTACAAAGGCCGTTTAACAGTCTCAATACCATTAGTCACTTTCTTAATACAATTAATGAAAATGTAATTAGGCAGCTATTAACTACAGTATCTACTCAGGCTTAATTTTCCAGTGCTCTAGTGCAGTGTTTCGTAACCCTGGTCCTGAAGGCCCACTGACCTACACGGTTTAGTGCTTTTCCTGCCACTTTACCTCAACAATGGGCCGTTAATGAGCTGATTAGTTAGCTCTGCTTTGCTGAGAGCCAGAGAACCACTAAAAAGTGCATGTCAGTGGTACTTCAGGGCCAGATTTGAGAAACACTGCTCCAGGGCACCTGGTTAGCCTTAATTAAATTGAGTTGAGATTTTACTAACCTGCATTGGGAAATCCACCCTGCTAGAAAACCAGCATATGTTGTGTTTTGAATGCTGGTATGCTGGTCAACCTGCATGACCGTGCTGGGTGATCAGCTAAACCAGCTTACACCAGCATTGAATTCATACTGGTCTGTGCTGTTTTTTCAGCAGGGCACCACGATGATTATGTGCAGTCTACTGGAAATGATAAACGAGTATAGCAGCTAATGGAGTACATTCATGCTAATGAGCTCAGCCTTTTTGCCTGAACAAATTTGCTTTGAACATTAACGCTTGTTGCAACAGGTGTGAGGGAAATAATAATGGAATTTAGCATCACAGCTGCAACGTTCAACTAAAAACTGAAAATAGTGCACTTTCAGATGTAGCACTTTACTTTTTCCTGTATATGAGGCAAGCACCGTTTAAATGAGGTAGAACAAGCCCTGTAACCAGAGCACCAGCCAAGAACTACAGCTCTACCCCTTGCAACAGGAAGCTTGTGTATTTATTTCAATATTGCCATAAAGATCAGTCACTGAAGCCGATGCTTAGCGTTCAGTAAAGAGACCAAATTTGACAGTTGTCTGCCATTCCTGTAAAATCATTAATATTCTAACAAGAGACTCGAGCAAAGCCTTGGGGACTTGATAACCTGAGCTACTTTAATATACTAGCAAGTAATAGATTCTGAATACGTAATAAATGCACTAAATCTGCTGAACTGTTCAGGAAAGGATGGTTCATAGTCGTAATATGTTCCACATGGATCAAGACTGTCCTCTAGTGGTCAGATGGTGCAGGCTCTTTAAAACTCTTAAAAAAACCTGCTTGGTCATGTGCCAAGACACTGAGTGTCATTTCCAGTTTTCAAAACATGACCTGCTCCTTCATAATCGTCCACCTCCATTGTTGATACTAAAAAAGCAAACTTCCGCATACCAGAGGTTTAAACTGCTTAGTCATTCTTTCCTGCCTGATCAGAGTATCTTTGGCGTCCATAATAATATAAACATAATTTTGCCATTTTGTTCTTTATAAATTCAACAAAACCTGGTGTAACTTGTAAAACTGCTCCAGAAATATTAAATGGTGCTACATACTTGTAACTTAAAACTATGTAAATTTTGGGCGTACTGTTGGGGGTTTGCCCTTGCATCTTATATTTGTGAGAGGTAAAAAAAAGCAGAGCATTGTACCATCAGGCAGGACAGTCATTATGTTTAAAATAATTTATTTTCAGAAACATCTACACTGAATATGGATTACCATGATCACTATATAAAATATGTACATAATGTGCTCCTAAAAAATCCATCTTGCTTATAAGGAGCACACAAAAAAAAAAGAGTAAAATCTAAAAGTTTTCAGCTGCATTCATTGGGAGATTCAGAAACTTGTATGCTGGACCGAGGAATGGTCTGTGCAGATTGAGGCAGATTGCACCAGGTCAGTATGATCTGATATTAAGACAGGAGGCAGCTGGACTGCTTGGAATCTCTCCCCTGTGGATTGAGATTGGAGAAATAAAACATAAGTCAGTCTGTAACAATAAAATATTCAGGATATTGATACAGTCTGCAGTGGCAGTGGAGGGGTAACAGTGTACATATTTTTTATATTGTTCGGATAGCATAAGCCCCTCCCCTTTCCCAGCCATTTTACTCTGATGCAATCCTCCCAAATGCCTACTTTTTGTGGTGGTTTCCATAAAAAACGGCAAATGATAGACCTTCGGAAAAGACTAAGGGTCGTATTGTCTATACAGTTTTTAAACTTCCATATCTGGTTTTAAATTCTGTTGAATTTGTGATTCTGTACTGAAATCGTTGCACCTCAGGCAGTAATCTGTAATTACACAAATGCGGTGTTTTCAAACCAAACTAAAGGCAATGTACATGCTTTTAGTCACATTTTAGCAAGCACAGGTTTCAGATGTCTACCCAAATATAGCAAATGCAGATAGGGGTGAGCGATATGGCAAAAATATTTTATCACGATACTTTTCATGATACATGACATGCATCACAATATTGCGTATTTCTGAAATTTAATGATTTGGAACAGACAAAATAGAACTGTAGTGCCACATATACAACTACTATAATAATAAAAAAATAAACAACTAAATTACAACTATTTTTATACCATGTTTCACAAAAGCCCTGCATTAAATTCAACTGAATAGGGCAATTATGCTCCCTTTATGATGAAACAAAGTTATTCAGTGTTCCTTAAGTACTGATGATATTCACAATACACTTATAAAAGCATATTATGATATAACTTGACAATAACGATAAAATATCATACTGCCCACTCCCATACTTCAAAACAACACAAAATAAGCTTAAGCCATCATACCAACCATGTTATAAGCAATCCATGTCCCCATGCACCCAATAGATAAAATAAGGTTGCCACTGAGGCCAAGTACCTAATTGAGGTCCTGCTAGCATAGCATGCTATTGACTGCTAAGGGTTCTGGATACCTGTTGTCTCTGCTGCTGCCGTCGGTACTCTTCTTCACTAGCAGCGAGGGCCTGAGCCAAGGCCAGATCCTCCTGCTCCTGAGGACTAACCAACAAACAAAACACACATCAGAGAAACTCACTTATACCGTACTCAAGACTAACAATGCTGCACTACTATAAGCAGGCATTAGCAAGCGATCTGATGAGCAGCACACATCACACTCACAGGTCAGACTCACAACAGATGAGTCACACATATCCATTGAAGAAGACACGCAAATAGGCTAATGCCTGAAACCTCCACATAAGGCATATGACAGGAGTCTTTACACTAAACCTGTCCAAAGCAACAACAATTACATTTATGCTTGGTTTCTCAAAAGAAATCATTTGCATAAGAAATCTTTTTGGAGATTAAAAGAAAGATTGATGCTGTGTCTCAATTGTATAACAAACACTGATAATGTATATAGTGTGTACTAGCATTAATAGTGTAGCTGAAACCTTGAAAGATATTTAAATATGTATACATAAAATAAAAAAACATCACAGGCCGGTATGTTTATTTTTGGAATTGTTGCAACTCAACATAGCTGTGAGTTGCTCCTTCCTCCCGAGATTCGATTTGATTTTCAATGTTTTGTGTGTTGAGTGATGTTTTGATTCTATGGAGCTAAAAAGCAACCCAGTCATTTAAGAGTGGGTGCTCAAGGCCCTCCCCCTCACTTTACTCTGATACGATCCACCCAGATGTCAGCTCTTGACTGAGGTGCCTAAGCAAGACAGTAAATGAGAGGCCCTCAAAAGACATGCTGCTGTACACCAGAGGACACTTCTCACACAAGGTAGCAGATGTGCTATGTAGCTATACCATATAGATAGAGTCACAGAAAAACATCAGAAAACAAGAAGCTCAAGTTAATTTTACATTCTGCAAGTACAGATTTAATGAAAAAAATTTCAGCATCATTTACTGAATTTATTAGGTTTAGTATCAGCAAACTGACTTTATGAACTCACTGCTTTTTAACTAAATGGTATGAGGTGAAATATGATGTGACTAGTCTAGTAATGACATCTGAGGTGAAATCTGACTACCTGTTTATCTTGACTTTAAGTACACATTTCTATGTAAAATTCAAGCCACATGTCACCTTCTATGGATTTTAGGTTTAATGCATAACCTAGGCAGTAGGGGTGCCTGTTTGTTCAGGAAAGAAAAAAAATATTTCTGGCAAACTGAGTAACAGTCAAAATAAAAACTAAAGCTATAAAATGCTTATTTTATATGTAGCTAGAACAGTATGACTGTAACAATAAGTCTTTTTATCTGGTTTCCCAAACTTTACACAACTGACATTTAGCCAGCGCATTAGCTAATAGCAGCATGTAGTTTTTCAGAATTGCACAAAAAGAAACTCTGAGAAGTCAGTAAATACACAGCTAAAATTTTGATCAGCTCATCTACCCTCCAAATACATCCACAAGAACATCATATTCATCCACCCAACTGACACTCCACAGTCGAATTTGCATTCTGGGTGTGTTCTTTAAAGGTGCTTTTGATACACATTATCATCATTAGATAGGTCACCTGTTGCCACTAATGGTATCTATCCAGCATAAAATGTTATGATTTGGTCTAATTTGCCTCTTGTTTTAGGTGCCAATGGCAGCTACTTTTTGTATAGCCTGCTGAAATGAAAAAAAGTTGTAGACTTCTTTATTGCTTCATTAAGAGCATGTGCTGTTCAATCAGATCAGTACATAAAAACATGGAGGAGGGGCTTGTGGCTACAGTCACCAGGTAGGTTAAACTCTTTTACAGATCTAAATTATCATGACATATCCCACACGACATAACTAGTTATGGCAGATAGCACTGGCCAGCTAGTTTTCAGGATGCTGAGACACAGCTGACTGACAGGCTACAACACTGCAGCTGCTTTGAAGCCAGCCTTCAAAAAATTTTGAATACATAAAATTTGACCGAAAAGCCCATTTCTACTTCAGATTACGCTGTCAGATAATAATGTCCATCAACGCAATACTCAACAATTGACTAAGAAGAGAGAAAACATTTTGAAATGTTTTGAGTATACTCAAAGTATGAATTTGCACAAGTTCGGCACTTGTGAATACAATACTGACAGACTAACCAGTGTTTACTGTACAACTGGGACACAGCATGACTGTAAGGTCTATCAGCTTAGCCACCTGAGGGCAGGCTGGGTGTTCCGTGATGATTCAGCCAGCGACATCTCTAACGCTCGTTGGAGTGCCTGCTCCTCTGTCTGTGGTCAGGGAAAGACAAACACACTTTAATATTCATGGCCATTTCCACTTCCACTGGTAACATTTCATAACAACTACACATCAAATATTTAAGTCAAAAGGAATGCCCTACCAATCCAGCCTGATAAGACGTTGATGGAGGTATTACATTCTGTGCTGGGGGTGGAACCATGGAAGGGGCTGGGGTCCTCTGAGCACTATAGAAGGGGAACATCATGCATCAAACTTAAGTCAAAAATACAATCAAATATCATTTAACAATGTATTTAATATACTTCTAATTCAATTCACAAATACAGCCAGTACAAATGACAACTGACTCACCTACTGCTCTGAACACGTGCATTCCCACCCAGTCCATTAGAGGCATTTCTGGAGCTCCCTCTATTGGATGAGGCTGCAGTATTACTGCTGGAAGCACCTTGAGCTCTCATCAAAGCAGCATGTCTGAAAAAAACAAAACAAATTAAGTCCTACACTACAACACAAGTCCATTCTGTTGAGCACTTGTCAGGGTCAAGACACAAAACATTTACCCGGATTTTGAGACTGGTTTGCCATCAGTCTTACAGTCATGGTCAAGTGGATGTCTGTGCTTGAGACAGTAGTTCAAGTGGCACTGGTCACACGTCACGCGAATCATTTCCTTCTGCTTGCAGCCTCCCTTGGAGCACTTATTTGTAAAAATCTTTAACAAAAGAGGAACACTTCAGCTAACAGTTCAGGCAACAAAGTTCAAGACACGTGTGTTGCTGATTTAATTATTATTACCTTTCTTTTTCTCTGTGCAGGATCTGATTTGCAGTCACGGTCTATGTGCTCCCCAACTTTAATATCTGGCATTTCCCCTCTTTTAATTGGAATGGGGGTGTTACACAGTGGACATACCGGGACCTGGACATCCTGAGCAAGAAAAACAGAATAACTAAGAAATTCCCTAAAGCAAGGAGGAAAGTTTATCACAAGATGAGATTAATATTTGCTGATCAAATGTACACACCTTTTTATATGAGGAAGTACACTTGTGACTTGCATAAGTTATGTGGTCTTTGCAGAAAATTCCTTCACAAGCATCACATCTCATTGGCAGAAAATCTATGAAATAAATGAGGTAAATTGCAAAAACCAAAAACCAAAAAAAAACACTTAGAACAAAACTGAATAACAGAACACACCACTACCGAGCATGTTTACAACCACATCTATAATTAAAACGAGAGAAAATGGTTAGTATTCCAACAGAAAATCACTCCCACTCACCCAAACGCTTGCAGGACTTCTCTGAGCAATGCTCCCCTAGGTCTGGAAACTCCATGGCACTGTGGTGAAAAGTGTCTGCTTTCTCACTAAAATAAAGACAATTAAAGTCAACACTTCCCAACTAAAACATTTCACTAAAACAGTTATGAAAACCTGCCTATGAGAGAGTCATACAGGAGTACAGTACAGGAGCAGAGTAAAGCCACTGAGCTTTATATAAAATACTGCAAGGCAGGACAGTTTATACTATACATCTGAAATCTTAGTGGTGCTGATAAAGCCATGATTTCCAAGACAACCCTCTTTTTTCCATTCAAAAGCAGCGTCCCTGTTGCCATGTGAGTTGCTTTGTTCGTTTTTTTCTATTTTGTGCACTTTACACATGATATACAGGACCACAAAGTTAACTTCAGCGTTTATCATTTGCTGGGTGCTTCAAATTGCTTTTAAAAAACAGTTCCACATTCATAGCAACTAAATATTTAGTAAGTTTCCTTTCTGAAAAAGTCTTTTTTATAGTACAGTACTGTGCACGGTTCTCTCTGGTGTAATTTTAAGAGAGAAAACAGTTCATTCAAGAAGGTCTGTGTAATATCTTCTATAAAGACATACTTTAATACTAACATAACATGATGTTACTTTGCAGCTTTGGCAATGTTTTTAGTGATATAACTGACAGATAATGAGCACTACATCCAAGATATACTGGCAGTAAAATAATGGTGCCTCTGTTGCGAAGCAGTTTGTTTTTAGTTCACTCATTGTATCCAGGACCTGGCAGTCAACTGCCATGAACATAATTTGCTATTTCAAAAGAACCGTCTTAATCTATATAAAACCCAGGAATAATATGTTTAACAGAATAAACAGTCCAGCCAACACAAACTGTCAGGTTTGTAAGATATTCCCTTAGTATACAGTAGAAGTGCTTAGAAATCATGGGTTTATTAAAATATTTATAAATGCAAATCTGAACATCATCTGAATATCAAACAGGTATCAAGTTTATAAGAATTCTTTTAGCATATGAAATCAGCACCATTCACCAACTTTATTAAAGTTGACTTAAATATCATGACATACACTCCAAAAAAAAAAGATTCTTTAAGAGTTGAGTTCTTCTATTATTACGATGTCAAGCTTGTAACAACAGAAGAACCCTTTCTGATGCTAAAGAGAACCACTTTTCTATGTGGAACCATATACAACACATTCTCTATTAATCTGAAGAACCATTTCACCATTCAAAGAACCATTTAAGCATGAAACGGTTCTCTACAGAACTCGTGGACTTAGGAAATACAGACATAATCCACAAAATGACTTAGTAACTGTTAGGTGGGGCAACTACTGCTGAATCATGCAGGCAAATTGATTAGTGAGCTAAACACATAACGGAAGCAAACCAAAGTGCATCTGAAATTGCCTATAAATACTTAATGTCTCTAGTGAACCAGCTGTATGGAGTCGATATAACACGAAACATACCGAGCAAGCTATTATTTATGGTGTCAACCCACAACATGAAGGATTCCGAGAAGAGGGCAGACTAGCTGTTATTATTAGCTAACGTTAGCTACTTAGGCAGTAGCTTAGCTGGGACAGCAAAACAGCGGAACACTGTTCGAAAATAAACGACGATGATGTGCCATTAAACACACACATGGATATATTCAACCAAAATCTACAGTTACCTCTGAGCTCTGTCAGCGAGAGTCGACACACTGTGAACAACTTTACTCGTCTAGTAGCGGTAAGTTTACAGGGCAGCTGTAAGAGCTGGTAGGTTAATATTAACGTTAGCTAGTAAGAACAGTTAGCCATTAGCTACTAGACAAATTCAACATGTCAATAAACGACCTTCTGAAGCTACATTATCACAGAAGTATCAGTGAAGTGTTTCTTACCGATGTGGCAGGCAGAACTTCTGAGGCCGGTCCGCTCTCTGACGGTTATCTCGAACGAACTGAGCAGCTCCGCGGACCGACAGGCGGACGGATTTATTCAGGCGTCTCTCTTCTGTTTTTTTTTCTGAGATGTCATCTGAGCGCTGTGAAGCTGGCAAACACACAGCTACTGTGTGTGAGGGTTTTAAAATAAAAGTCCTTTGCGTTAGCAACGATGGATAAGAGGGGGATGAAATTGTATATGTAAGAATTTAAACAGGATTTTGGCGTACAGTTTAAGAAGCTGATAAATACGAATGTTGTATATGGACAAATATGGATAATTACAAAATATTCGTATAAATAGCTGTTGTAAACAGTATGGGGTCTTTAAAAATGAATTTAATTTTTTTTATTTATGTATTTATTAGTTATTATAGCCTACATGACTACAGACACCCAAACTGCTCGGCTGCATTTTCAAGCTAATTTTGTTATATTGTTTGGTACTTGATGTGATACAATGAATTGGTGAAGCAATGCCAAGCATCCATATTTATTTGTAAAAACCACAGAATAACAAAACTTCCCCATTTTAGGATGTTGGAGCCATCTAATTGCTCAACCACAGTCCTTGCTTTTCACCCTTCACAGGATAAGTATTTAATGTCTACATTTTTGATGTTTTAGATCTTTTAATTTTGTCATTGTTGACATTTCCACAAATTAGGACCAAAGAACTAGAAACAAGTGTTGATTGGCTGGGCTGCCCCTTTGGTTGCCCACTTTTAAGTGAGCTATATAACTCAGAAGAGTAAAGTCATTAGTTGTATTTTCAATAAAACCGAGCTAGAACTGCGTTTCTGTGAAACCCTCAGAGAATTGGTTATGGATGGTTATTTGGGATGGCTGGAGGCCAAATTGAAAGAAACCAATTTGAGCAACAGAATACATCGGATAAAAAACATGCTTCGCTATACTTGCTATAGAATTAATTAAAATGGATTACAGATTTCACAGAGAGAGTATTAGAAATGCACATGCAATTTCAAAAACTGCTTTCTTCATCTACAATGATAATCAGTGAAACCACAATATGTTCAATTTGCCATTTCTTTGGTATGAGGCTGTAATGTAATAATTTAGTGCTTTTGCCACAAAATTTCCATACTTTGGTACCAAATGTGGCTGAAATAGAACATGACGTTACAATAGGCATCGTTCCAGGACTTTAAGGTTGGAAATCATCTGATCGTTAATTGTCACTTCCACAGTATCTGGCTTCATCACCGCACTTCTCCTCCTGGTTCCTCCCAGAGATCAACACTGAGGCCCCGCCTGAAAAACAACACTGAGTCACGCTGACGTCATCACGTGAAAGCTGGAGGATTCCAGAAATTACCACATGAGGCGGTGATGCAGCACTTTTTATTGTTTAACTTCATAACAAGTCAAAAGACAATAAATTACTGCATAAAATTTCAATTAATGAACATGAGTACAATACAGTTAAGATTAGAATGTATCTTTCATTTTTATTAGTATTATTATTTTAAAAATTCTTCATTTTTAAATTGATTTTGTGCACCTTTTTTTAATTTATGTCTCTCCATATTTTATCACTGTGAAAGCTGTTCATAAATCATATAACATGGATCAGTGAAAGGTGTCACTTTATCATTATTGTTTATTATTGTTGTTGTTTTGGTGTAGTTAGCAGGTCAGTAATAGGAGGTTAATAATCCTTCTATTTCTGTTTGATTCTAAATGTAATACTGTTGTATGCATTAATCCAGAAATAGAACATAAAACTGTAACAGCATTAAAGACCCACAGAGCCTAAATCTTTGTTTTTTGTTTTTTTTTTCAGTCTCTATCTGACCAATAAGTGACAGATAGATGTCACCATATTTCTCTCCCGAGCGGTCTTAATTGTGGGTAACATTTCCGTAAGCATTTCCTAACCAATCACAGGCCTGACGTCACTTGCTCCGCCCCCACAAAACAGTTTCGGGGTCAGAGAAACTTAGCGAGCTAATGCTAACCCAGCATAGCCCAAAGCTAGCGAGGTAGACCACCAGGCTATAGCTGTCTGTCATCTGTTCATTCACTTATCCATTAACGAACATTGTTCATTCGTCCGTTCCTTCATTCTGTTCATCTGTTTGTTCATTTGTGACTTTTTTCATCCAGTTAGTGAAGAAATTCTTAAATAATAATAATGATAAGAAGACTGAGAAGAAGAAGAATGAAAGATAAATTTGAATCTTACCTGTATTGTACTCATGTTCTCTAATAGAAATTTTATGCAGTAATTTATTGTCTGTTGACTTGTTATGAAGTTAAACAACAAAAAGTGCTGCATCACCGCCTCATGTGGTCATTTCTGGAATCCTCCAGCTTTAAGGTGATGAAGTTAGCGTGACTCAGTGTTCAACCTAGAAAAGGCAAGAACACAGTTCAAATAAGGGAAAAGTGTGTTGACCTTCATAAGTCAGGGAATGGCCATGAAAAAAAGTTGTTTGCTAATGAATATATAAAAAATGCCCAAATCAACTGGAACTGTGACATACTTGCCTGGACGAGGACCCAAGTTTATTTTGCTCCCATGCACAGTGAGAAGGATGGTAAGAGGCAAAAATCTCCAAGGATCACTGTTGGAAAGTTACAGAAAAAAGCAGCATCTTGTAATCACCGTGGCCCAATCCCATTTCTTATTTTTACCCCTACCCCTTGTTTTCAAGTGCCACCTTGCTGCTTGGAACTGACCCAGACAGCAAGCAGTCCTCCTAGCAGTCGCATCTGCATTGCGGACTTGTGCCACATTTGGGCCAAGTAACTGTTAACAGCACTAGACACACTGCCGGTCAGCGGACTCAGAGCGCATTTGGGCTGGATCTTTAAAACGGACGCGCCTCATTTAAAATTTGCCCCTCCCTTTTCCCCCCCCCTCAGTCCAGTTTCCCCCAGTTGTCAGTTGTCTTTGACTGTAAAACTTGCTGCTGCTTTTGAGGTAAGGTGTATTTTGTCTTTTAAATATTTGCACATTTATTAGAATTACGATCAGGTATCTTGGATTTTATCGTTTAACTTTTAATATGTTCACTTTGATAGCAAATAAGCTGAGTGGTGGAGTTGCTAGAGTGGACGACGTCAGTGCTAGCTAACCTAGTTATGTTAGCTGAGGTAGTGAGTCAAAATGTCTAATTCCAACCAAAATTAACATTCGAGATTTCTCTTTAATTATGTTTAATAACGACACATTCTTAATCTTACAATATCTCCCTCGCCTGGCTGTGTAACTAGCTAGCTAGCTTAGCTGGGTTGTACTGTGAGAGGCAACTGTTAGCGTTCATTGGAAAATGTGAAAATGTTCTAAGAGCAGCTTTAATATTTCTGCCTGCTTTAGGAAAAAAAACAAGCCTAAAGAAAACAGAAGTGAATTTGAGTGACTACTGTAAAAAAACATCCATTAGCTGGAATCTAAAGTTACTTTATTTGTGACGTGTGGAGCTAGCCAGCTAAAGTTAGCTAGGTTAGCTAAGCTGTATTAGCCAGTGCAAGCACTAACGTAAGTTTAACCATCTTTTTTTTGTTTTGTTTTTTTTATAGTGAATATACCAGTAACACAGTCCTCGTATTTGGTTAAAAGTGTGTAAAATAACCCTCAAACAGAACGGGTTTCCCTTTGATTCATCTTTTATTTGACGAAGCTTCAACTCTCACACTGCTGCTCCCGCGGCCGCTTCGGACTCAGGGTCAGTCTCAAAATATTCAAAATTGCGAAAAGAAAGTGTTTCTGCTATCATTACTAGCATTATTGTCTTTGTATGTACATCTGTTGATATGTTCAGAAGCATCAGCAGAGCTATTTACAGAGATACTAAAGCTATTACTACTAGTAATAATAGCTTCACTTGCTTCGTCTTGTAATTTTGAGACGGTCTCTGACTCTGAAGCAGGCGCGGGCAAGCACAGTGATGGCGTGAGTTGAACCTTTTGGCAAAAATAAAAGAATAGAGAAAAGAACAAGAAGAGAACAGCGCAGTTCAGTACAAACTGGGTTTGTTGTGTTTGTCATCTTTAATATGGCCACGAAAGTGTAATTAATCTAATAAGACAGAACGCACACGAACTTTACCGTCCGATGTGGTGTGTGTAGCCTGATTGGGTGAAAGCTGAGACATGGCCGTGGTGGTCTGAGGTGGTCCTAAAACGGTCACAGTAACGCAGCCGTTTTTTTTAAACATACACGCAGCTGCCTGCAGCACCGAGCGCGTTTAACTATCGCAGCTCGGTCATGTTGACGTGTCGGAATACTGTTTCACGCTATGGTTTGCATTAAATAAACCAATAAAAGAACGTGTTTTAACGTCATTATGGGCTGTTACTGCGGTAGCTCGGTAACTCTTACCGGGCTCAGGTCAAGGCCCGATATATAAAACGGACGCGCCTAATTAAAAAACATTCCCCTTTCTTTTTTCCTGCTCAGCGGTCTACAGTCATCCGTTGGTATTGATCTGTAAAGTCTGCTGCTGACTTTGAGGTAAGTTAATCATTACTTTCGATATCTGCACATATGTGATCAGGTATCACAAATTACATTTGTTTATTGTTTCATTTATTTGTAAATATTTTATTTAATTTGACAATCAAATAAGCTTAATGGTAGAGGAGTACAGACAATTATAGTTCTGTTAAAACAAATTACCGTTAGCGTCTTCTCTTTGGTTATCTTTAAGTTCAAACAAATTTTGCCTCCCCACCAGGGCCAGCCTCATACACCTCTTCCCGCCAGGGCCAGCCTCCTACACCTGTCCTCAAGAGTCAGCCTCCTACATCTCTCTGCCAGGGCCAGCCTCTTTCACCTCTCCGTCAGGCCCTGATGGTGAGCCAGCCTCCCACTTTATCTAGACTGGCCTCTGGAACCAACCTCTTTCACCACTTCTTTAGATCCAACTTCCTCCATGTCTGCTATAGGGTGAACATTCTTCTTGTAAAGTTTCACCCACCCTTTGAGAGGTCATGACCTCAATAAAACTGTGGGCTGCAAATATTGGCTCATTTGGGCCAACCAATGACTTGGTCAGACTCTTAATTGGACAGTAGTGCCAGTACTCCTCTGGCAGCAGACTCAT